AAAACCGCTAAAAACGGACAGAAAATGTGGATTATTTTGGATCTGAAGATCCGAACGTTTTTTGAATCCGCTTTTTGCACTGCTCGCTTCCTTCTGATGAAAATAATATAAAATTTGAGGCATTTTGAGCAACTTATGAAATTTTTGCCCAAAAAATCAAAATTTCACATGCAAGTTTTTTGAGCTCAACGGATGTTTTCCTGTCTGCCTCTGGTGAAAACGCACTCTTTACAGTGTCAAGTGCAAAAAGTGACTGAAACTTTTGAACCACTTTTAGTATCAAAACCAAACCTGAATAAACGATTGCAGAATTTTATCGTCGAAGAAATGGGTCAAGCGTATTTGGAGCCGCCACAATTCAACCTGGAAGAATCGTACAACGACAGCAACTGTTGCTCGCCGTTAATCTTCATTTTGTCGCCCGGATCCGATCCAATGGCCGGACTTATCAAATTTGCTTCGGACATGGGAATTTCGAAAACCAGCCTAATGACCATCTCACTGGGACAAGGACAAGGTCCGATCGCTGCCAATATGATCATGACCGGGCTGCAAACCGGCCAATGGGCGGTTCTGCAGAATTGCCACTTAGCCACCAGCTGGATGAGGGAACTGGATAGGATTTGCGATGAGGTCATCGTTCCGGAGCTCACCAATACAAGTTTTCGGCTTTGGTTGACCAGCTATCCCAGCACGGACTTTCCCGTCGCCATATTGCAGAATGGTTAGTGATCGGGCAATTTCACTCTCACTTTGGGGGGCTGATTGGGGGTCATTTGTAGGAGTCAAGATGACGAACGAAGCCCCCAAAGGCTTGAGGCAGAATCTGCTTCGTTCCTATCTTTCGGACCCGATTTCCAATCCAGAATTCTACGCGGGATGTTCGAATTTGCTGCCCTTTCACTGCTTGCTGTTCTCTTTGTGCTTCTTCCACGGCTTGGTGCAGGAGAGGCGCAAATTTGGCCCGCTGGGCTGGAACATTCCCTACGAATTTAACGAGTCTGATCTGCGAATCAGCGTGGTGCAACTTCAGGTAAGCGGAAACAACCGCTCCAGATCTTCTGAGGATTATTCGAGCGTTCCAGATGTTCCTCAATGACTATGTGGATGTTCCCTACGATGCCTTAACCTACTTGACTGGGGAATGCAACTACGGCGGCCGAGTTACTGATGATAAAGATAGACGATTGCTCAATTCGCTACTGTCCACATTCTACAACCCGCAGACGGTCAAAACACCAGAGTACGGTTTTCTTTCGCGTACAAGCTAACATGTTCTGGAGCTATTTGAGCTGGGTTTTAGGTATCCATTCTCCCCCAGCGGCCTCTATTTCGTTCCAAAAGACACCAGCTACGAGGGCGTGGTTTTCTACATCAAATCCCTACCTATAATACCACAGCCGGAAGTATTCGGGCTGCACGAGAATGCGGATATCACCAAAGACAACCAAGAAACCCAAATTGTAGGAGCGCAAAACTCAGACTCAACTGCTCCCATGTGATTTTCTTCAATGTTTCAGCTGCTTCAAGGCGTCTTAGTGACCCAAACGCAACTAACCAGCGGAGCTGGAGGAGATTCTGGGCAGGAAAAAATGGTGATTGACCTCGCCGAGGACATTTTGGGCAAAGTGCCGGATTTATACGATATAGAACAAGTCAGCAAGAAGTATCCAGTGATTTACGAAAACTCCATGAACACTGTGTTGAGGCAGGTAAAGTCGCTCCACAACCCAATCAAGAAAGTTGCCACATCGGATTTAATCTGCAGGAGCTTATCAGGTTCAACCGGCTGATTGCAGTAGTTAAGAGGACTTTGCGCGAAATGGTCAAAGCGGTAGCAGGATTAGTCGTGATGTCGGCGGAATTAGAAGAAACCTGCCATGCCCTCATGATTGGCAAAGTCCCAACTGCATGGTTGGCCAAAAGCTATCCAAGTTTAAAACCTCTCGGGTCGTATGTTACAGACTTACTGGCAAGGTATAAGTAACGCAATAAAGGGATGAAAATAGGCGCGACTCACTTCTGCTTGCAGGTTGAAATTTTTTCAAGACTGGATCGAAAAAGGGGTGCCCACAGTGCTTTGGCTCTCCGGGTTTTACTTCACCCAGTCGTTTTTAACGGGAGTTTTGCAGAATTATTCCAGGCAGATGCACTTTCCGATAGACTGGATTCATTTCGAGTTCTACACCACGAAGTATGAGCAAGATGTTGACAATCCTGCCGACATTGGAGTGTATTGCAAGGTACATATTCATTCTCACTGTTTTTCGCACTTTTACTGTTTACTCCAACAAACATTGACTTTCTCACAAAAAAATTACCTAAATTCCATGCAGCAAGTTGAGGAAAAGCAGGAATTTAGCATATTGATTCACGTAAGTCCGCAGTTCACTTCACACAGCTCAAGGCAAGTTGAACCGAATTGTTCGAATCTGTGTGATTTATTATTAGGGGCTGTTTCTCGAGGGAGCAAGATGGGACCGGAAAACCCGAGTATTGGCTGAGTCGCTTCCGAAAATTCTCTTCGACGTTGTGCCAATAATGTGGCTGAAACCGGCCCAAAAATCACAGTACAATCCGCCGCCCTCGTATACTTGTCCAGTTTATAAGACGAGTGCCAGAAGGGGAATATTGTCGACCACTGGACATTCCACCAACTTTGTAATGTACACCACGTTCAACAGCAATTTGCCGGAAAAGCACTGGATAAATCGAGGGGTGGCAAGTTTGTGCCAACTGGATGACTAGGACGGTACCTATACATACATATAAAGTAAATACAATTTAATTTTTAGTAAATATAGCCGAATTTATTGACTTTGATTTTTGGCAAATTCTACAGACAAATCTACTGAAGCAAACAATTTAAAATAGAGTGTGTTAAATCACGCGTATTTCTTCAGCCGGGAATTTTGGCCATAGTTGCCAGTTTGATCTAGAAAAATTTCAGAAAAGTGTCTAAACATTTGATTGAACTGAAAAAAGTACAAAGAGTGCAACTAACACGATTTACGAACCTCCATTATCTCTAGCATAAAATTGCGAGTCGGGCGCATACAGTTCCGGATTGATTGTTTTGTCATGAAACTGGTATTGCCATTCTGAATGTAAAGTCATAGAAAAACGTAAAAACTCCACGTTCTAACAAAAAATGCCATACTTACGTCCTTTAGTCGCTTGAGATATTAACGAGTAGTAGTATTCCTTATCCTTAGCTGACCACCTCAACATACTGCGGTATTGGCTGACAATTTCCTTTTGGGCATTGGCCTGAGCTCTAGCGTAGTACACTCTTGCACTGAAAATTGAAAAATATGCGACATACAAAAATTGGCAAACTCATGGAACTTACCACAAAAATAGAAGGGCCACAGCAATCACGCCCGGCTTGGTGATGAACAAAACCACCGACCAAACAGTGCTGTTGGCTTTCAGTTGCAGAACCCCCAAAGTGACAATCTCATAGATGTGGTCGTAGTCTCTGAAAGGGCCGCACTCCTTAGACGTCGGCATGCTGCAAATAAAACTCTAACTGAAAATTGGGCCTTAAATCCTGCAAAGAACTTACTAAGAAACGATGTATCCAACCAATCCGACAATGCACATTAAGCTCATAAAGGCCATTACCAGAAACCAGGTGGACGTTTGCGCAGCTCTCCAAGACTTAGCCGATGGCTTACACAACTGCATAACAATGGCATATCGGATATACCAAATTAAGAATAGTTTGACTACTACAACCACTGCTAGCAAGGGGGAGAACACCAGTCCCACCCAAAATAAGGTTTGGTTGTATATTATTTGCATGGTGTTCCAGGCGATATCGAACTCCAAGTAGACGTCCTTTCGAACATACCTAAAACGGCTTCGGGTTTCCGAAATTTCCTGTCTGGCTCAGAAAATGCAATATTTACTTGTAAAATAGGAACAACAGCAGATCTAGGACTGCTGAACATATCACAGAAATAAAAAAGTCGAAAACGATCATTCTGTAGAACTCCTGGGCCAATGAGGTTTCCCAGCATGGAGATTTCTAAAATCAAGGACCTACCAAAAGGTTTGATCTGAGTGTTGGAGACTTACACTATCATTTTGCAACCAATATGTTACTATAACCGCGATTGTAACTGCACCCAATACAAAAGTCCTCCCCAATGTTAGGTACAGCGTTATTTTGGGGTTTTTGTAATCTTCGTACCTGAAAAAATGTTTACCGGATTTTTAATGCAAAATAATCCGTGCATATTTGGACTTACCTTATGATAAAGCTGAGAAACATTGGCATTAGTGTCATGACTCCATTAACGAATATCGGCGCCATAATAATTCGGGTTCCTCTATCTGAGGTGACATTTTGGAGGAAATACCAAACAGCTGCAGCTGTTCCCATTATGAGACACAACACAACCACGTTCATGCAACATTGAACGGCATAAACGAGGAATTTGTCGTAAAAAGTGCTTTTCTTCTTGTGTCTTTTGGTTTCGCCGATTAGTTCCTGAAAATACCAGATATAAATAATAATGTCGGAATGTTGAGAATCTTTCAGGCGAAGAACTCAGAAGTTCCTATTTTCTGATGACCACTTTTCATAAATAGTAGAAATGGTTAACGTCTTTTAGTCGTCCATAACTAACTCTGTTACATCATGAAGAACTTAATGAGACAGTATTTTAAATTTTCATTCAAAACTGTTGTCCATCCAGAACCCGAGCGGAAAATCACAAAAATGCTCACCTTCAGTTCATTGTAAATGGCCTTGATCTTCAGATCGGCAGCATCCTTGGTGGCTATATTGTAGTCCCAGCCACAGAAAATCTTATTTGCAAACACGTTTTTCAAACCTCCTTCTGTCTCTATGAAACTTCTCCTATAGGATTTAGCGGCGCTAGAATTGAAAAACACCCAATGAAATAGTATGCACTAAATGCGCGACACAAACTAAAAAAAATGAAACAAACCTAATACCAATCACAGCAAATGAAACAAAATAAATGGACAGCATTGTGAAAAAGTATGCATGCGGCATGCTGTATGACAAATTACTACCAATGGTTTCATTAGTGTAAAACCCATAGTACATTAAAGTGTTTGATAAGTGTCCCTAAAAAAAATGTGATGCTTTAACCAACACCGTTTCACGGGATTTTAAAAAATTATTTTTACCTCTCCAGTTATGAGGTCCGCAAACTTCCAGTCTTCTGAATCGGCGGTTTCATTGCGCCGAGTTAGTTTAGGAATGATAATAAAACTCGTGCAAATAGTTGCAATTGCAAAGTTCACCAAAAACAGCCACCGCAGGAACTTGAAAAAAGATGCAACTCCCGTGCCAAAGTTTCCCTCTATTTTCTTTAACGGCGCATACCACAGTTCAAATGAGTACGCCAAGTCCTTTATATTCATGTTCAACTATAAACAAGTTATGCTTGCTTTATATGTAAATGTAGGTAGAAGAGATGAGTAAATTACCTTGGTGAAACTCATGCTAGCGCGATATTTCATCATTTTCCAGCAGCTTAAAGCCTTCCGCTTGGACTTCCTACTTACCGACTTGGAGAGTTTATCTTTAACGCATCTTTTAATAGTGAGGCATTGAGGCATATCCCTTAGAGCTGTTCTGTGGGGTTTTTTATAAATCAACTGGCTGTTTAAAATGATTGCTCTAACCGACCTTCTTAGCTCTTCAGCATCTGGAGAGTCTTCCATCAGGGCCTCATCTTGCTCCATTTTCGAAACGATAACATTAGCATGCTTCTCCAACAAGACATCTGAAAATTTACCTCAAATTATAATCGATATTGAATGTGGATGACGAGTCTTGCCTGTCTGACTATTTCTGCCAAGATTCCTCCTAACTGTTCCGCCAGTTCTGGCCTCAAAGGATTTTTGCAAATTATTCCCTCCCTGCCGATTATTGAGGTCACTCAGCCTATGGATGGAATGGTAGTTTGATGGATGGTGCGCATCGAACTCTTCCTCATCATCACTCTCTTGATACTCCACATCATTTTGATACTCAGAGGCATTTGTTGCTGAAGTAGACGGCTGGTCCATTGGATTATTAATTTGGCGATTGAAGAAGGCCCCTTTAAGTCCACCAAACGCAGGCTGATCAGCTGAAGATGTGGCTAAATCGAAACGAGGCGCATCGTTTGAAGTTGGCTGCTCAGGCTTGAGAGCAGTCCGACTGTGGAAAGCAGCCTTTAAACCACCGGGTGGTTTGGGAGCTACTTCTGGTTGAACAGACCGGGCTTGAAATGCCCGTTTCAACCCTCCTTCCGGCGGTTTTGGAGAGCTTGAGCGTTGTTTGGGTGTAATCCGAGAGGAGCTATTTTGGGATTGAGTTGACCTGGTTTGAAACGCTGCTTTTAGTCCGCCACCTTCTGCTGGCTTTGGGGGCCTTGTATACTCTTCATAGGTATTCGCTTGAAGAGAGGGTCGTTGGAAGTGGCTGTAAAATATGGGTTTGGGCTTGGAAACAATATGAAATCCAATAAGTCAGTGTTTCTGTTTCATCTGTTTTTTGGGGGGCTCTTTCAAAGTGTTTTTAAAACAACCAGAATAAGTAGTTTGCGATCAAACTACATTGACGTTTTGAATATAAACCATTACATTGTTTTCAAAATTCAAAGTGTTGCATTGTAGAAATTATCTCCTATCGGAAAGAATTGACGTGATAAATAACCTCAATCAATGCGCAGCGTTAAAAATAAAAATACCCTAAAATTTTGAACAAAAATTTATTGCCACGGAACATAAAGCAAATTTAGCATGTATTGATAGCACTTAAAACATGATTTAGCAGGAAATCTCCTTTGCGAATATGTTACGGTTAAACTTTGAACTTGGCTAATCGCGGTAATAACCGGTAAATCTCGAGTTTAACACAAAGGCAATGTTAATGTCGAAAGCAATAAAGTCGAGTTCAGCCCTTTTTGCTTGTTGAATGTTGAATAGTTTATGAGATACATTATGATTAGACTATTACTTTCTACCAGGTATAGTTCTTACGCCCTTAATACTACTTAACCGGTTAATCTCGAGATTAACATAATTTAGAACGTCAACCGTGACAAATGTTAATTGAAAATGTCAACCAGATTCGGAAAATTGTTTTTTAGCGAATATCAGGTTCTTCGCGCTTTCATTACATACATTCAAGTATATTTTAAGTAACAAAAAACACAAAACTGCGTAACTCGGCCGCGCATCAACGACGTAAACGCGATAAAAAGTAAAAATAAATAAACATACCCAGGCATGTTTGGACAGTAATTTCCTTGGGAAACTAAACGACAAAGTAGTTGCGGTTTATCGAAATAGCAATCAACTAAGTAAGATTAGCGTTATCAATATCAATAATACAAACCTTAATCAGGATTTCTGTGAATCAGGAATTTTGATAAATGTGTTTACGTCTCTACTTTTTGAGGTTACAGTTCCAACTCAACCCATTTTTGAAGGTATTCTCAGGCCATCGCTGTCTCACCCCACGCGACAGACAAAGACACGCATGTGACCGGTGCCGACCCCAGACTGCCAAATATGTCAAGAAAGTTGAGGGATTCTGTGCGGTTTCATTTGTTGTTTGCAGTGAATCAGTGCATAAATAAGGTATTAAAGGGCAATAGACGAGTCAAAACCCATCATTAAACCGCATGGCAACCGGCAAGTAGTTATATTTGCTTTTGTTATGAAAATACGCCGGGGGCCTTCAAGGACGACGCTAGTTTGGTTACAGTTCTCTGTAAAGTGACTAGTTTGCGCAACAACGCGGTAGAGGACACACACATTGTTTTTAAATATTTTGAAAGACGACGTATTGTTTTCACGTGTTTATCAAATTTTCATCCAGCAAGTACCGACTGAGCTGTTATGAAATCGAATCGGAGCAACAAAATACACACATTGGAGTTGCACAGGTGACTCCCACGTTTATAGCGGTTTGTAGGTAAACAGTGAGTCCTTTAGGTGCGTGTTTCGCCAAATCCGGTGCGGTTAAGTGAACGATCATGTCGGTACACACGGCACAGACCTCGGAAAGTGATGCCTGGGCTTTATTGTCGCTCAAATCGGCCCCAGCCAGCCCTTCGAAGCTCCAGTGGAGCCCCGAAGACCAGGGGGACATCATAGCGCGGATAGAGGCCAAAGAGTTCGAATACTTAGTCCGGCAGAACCGCATAGTTATAGGTAGAAACAGTTCACGTGGTGATGTCGATGTAAATATGGGGCATTCGAGCTTTATATCCCGCAGACACTTGGAAGTGTTTTTCGATCATCCGTTCTTCTACATGAGCTGCAACGGGAAGAATGGCGTTTTCATCGATGGGGTCTTTCAGCGAAAAGGGGCCCCATCGATCAGACTGCCCAAGACGTAAGTTTGTGTTATGTAAACAACTCTCTCTCTGTGTATGTGTGTGTGTGCTCGGGCTGACGATTGTGGTGTTTATCCAACACAGTCGGCAGTTCCCCAGGCCTTGAGCCTAGTGAGGTTAAATTAGCATGCTGGCTATCACGTGTTTTGTTCTTTTCGTCGAATATTCCAGATTCTCCACAATCAATACTGGCTAGCCGGGGCACTTTGCCATGCCAAGCCAGAGGGTTAGAAATCCACAATGTTATAAATACATTTTCGAGTATTTATTGAGCCACTGACGTCACTGGCATGCTAACACTCTAAATTGATCCTTATGTCCACTGGTCATAAAGATCCAGTTGGGCTTTGAGCTCCAGCAAGCCAAATAATAATAGCCCCAGTTACTTATTGATACTCTACATAGCGTTGATATCCTTTTAAGGACTATGTTATGACTGTTCAGCTGCACCACGTGGCCGGTTTATCTGCAATTGCCTTCGAATTGGGACTGGTTTGCTAACCGACTCATCCTTTATTTGCTGATGTCATTTCGATGCTACTTTTCCACATTTTATGGCTTTATTTACTTTACGTTTCTGCTGCTGCAAACCGACCACATTTTGCCAGCTTCATGCACCCAATTGTCTATGTTTATGTTGACGATCTCAAACGACTACCCTTTTAAAACAACAGTTTTCATTGTTTTTCAGAATGTTTGGACTTTCTATCACAACTTGATGTCAAAGCGAAGTTGATAGAAACTGTAGCCCTTTCGAAATCTATATCATTATTTACATAATTTACTTTAAATAATTAGAAAGTGATCCAAAAACATCATCTTTAGAACATTATGTCTCACCTCTAATTATTGCCATCTGAACAGTGCAATTAAAGAAATCATGCGATCATAATTGGCATTTGTGAACAAAAGCTCGGTTACTGTGAATAGAAATAACACCAAGTCGAGAAGTTTGCTATTTTTACTGAATTATTGGGTTTACAAAAGGCAACCCAAAACCTAAATATCACTCTTACTAACGTTAGTTGATGCATGGATTGTTGGAAGGCGACTTTAACTGAAGATTCAAATTCTGTGAGCATCAGAACAAGTTCAAATTCAAAAATGTAGAAAAATCCCTTAATAAGATAATATTTGTTTTTAATACCAGCCGAAAAATTTTCTTAAATATTGCTCACTCATTTTTATCGCAATTGAAGTTATTTATTTATTTGCCTGAATCTTGTTTGTGTTTATCGTACTTACATAAGCCCGGTGAGTTTTTTTTTTTTTAGTTTTATCATGACTCAATTAAATGTCACTGGGAAAATAACTAGATTATCGAACGAAATAGTTTTCGCATTACTCCCCTTTTAACCCAAACATTGAGGAGCGAACTGGAAAACGACGCAAAAAACTAGTTTGACGCGATGCGTTTTTGTTTGCAAACATTTTTCTGTGGAAATAAATGAATTCCGAATCGTTAACATTCGACTAAAATTTATTTTTAATGTATTGCCACATGGATAATCAACACATCTTTGTTACAAGGACACTCAGATAAGTAGTAAATGGGATTCAAAATTATGGGATTTGTTAGTAGTGATACTACAGTTGTAAAGTATGATAAACATTATAAGCTTACCATGTTAAGATATGAATGACCGTCAAGTGTCTGTAAGCAAATTTTTAATTTGAGACCTTGGGCTAATTACTTTGATTGATTTTGACTAAAATTTTGTTCTAAATTTAATGGATTTTGTTGGGCAATTCTTGTAGGTACGGGATGTTGAATAAATCAACCAAATATGTACTTAACGCGATTTTTTCATCTTCAGTTTGCAAATGTGAGGGGCCTGTCTGTACACGATAGTCATTCCCGTGAAAACCATGACATGCACTTATTTAGACTTGCTTTTGAACGTCAACTTGCGTTTGCTTTCTCATATCATTGATTTTAATGAAAAAGTCCAATGATCATGCAGGCTGCGTTGCCAATTTAAAATTTACTGGAAGGGTTCAGTAAAGTCGCATCCAGCTACATTAAAAGCCAAACTGGTGTAGACTGTCGCATCGTTGCATCATCTTGGACTCAACTGCTGCATTGCCATCAAATATCGGTTGAGAAATATCTTCTGTTTAACTGTGTTTTTGTTTGTTAATAAACCAATGTTTGCCCGTTGCTCCCGATGCGATTTTACACCCTTTCGGCTTTACGCATTTTTATGTAATCGCTTAAAATGATTTGTGGACTATTTAAGGTGTATAAATAACTGTCTCTAAGCCCGCCACTATCACAACAATAGTATTTTTTCTTCGTGTAACAACAGATAGGAACATAAGATCAATACACCCAGAAACACGTGCAGTCCCAGACCGCAGCGAAGGGCAAGCGACTTACGTGAGCCCTGGAAATCCAACGTAAAGCTCAAAACTTTCGCCTGTGGTTCAAGGTCTTTGCCAGGATAATCAATTTTGGCCAAAAATACCGTTGGCGGTTTGTCCTTCCTTCGGCCGATCCTGCTTGGCAACAAATAATACCAGGAAACTGAAAAAGTTCGGTGTGAACAAATCTTTAGTCAGCTGCTTTTTCACTAACTGAACCGAAGCTTCCGAAGAGGGTTGATTGGCTCTGAGCACAATACTTTTCTCAATGTCGACTTAACAGTTCAGAGAACTGAACCTGCGGGCAATGAGGACGAGAAGGAAAGCCTTCTGCTGCCAGAAATGCGATGGGAGTTCAACATTCATACAAACTTTGCCGGAAATGCCTAACCAATTGTGGTAGAAACCGTTCATAGATTACATGTGAAATGCTGCTTTTAAAGGGTTAGATAATGGTTGGTGTCGGCTTTTAGGGCATCTTCTTATCGTATTGCAAGTTTCAAAGAAAAGAAAACAGTTTTCAGGTTCTGCTAGTGACAGACATTGTTCGCTAATAGAAAGCAAAAGTTCCACAGCTCCGAACTCAATCGCTGGCTATTTTTTCTCGTTTGACCTATCCGAAAATAATACTTTTCGTGCAGTCAAATACAGTGCAATTCAAAATATGTTCGAAGGCCGTCGAGCGGATTTAGCTCATACTACTTCATTTTTTCAACCAAGACTACACAAGCCATGTTGTTTTGACTAACATGATAGACCGATGAAAAAATCAAAATTAATGTTTTCTCTGCTGCATAATTTCCCAAGCATTTGCCTAAATTAAGTCACATTCAGATATCTACCACAACTGGTTTATCAGCTGGTTAGGATGTACAAACACGTATTATTCGGCTTGTCTAAATGCTCCCAAATTGCTGCGAAACGGCAAGATCCGGACACATTTTATTTAACTTTAGCTTTACTTTTGGCCTCGCTTTTGGCCCACCAATCTAGGTTAAATATGACTGATGAAACACACCATTAGTCAGGTACAGCCCACATTTTTATGTGTTAGTTTTGGCCTGTTTAAAAAAAATCAGGCATCCTATTGGTTAGAGATAGCTTAATATAGAGGTTCTATAATTTCTTTCAGTCACACTATACGGGCTGTACCTTAATAACTTTTGTCTCAAAGTCATCTGCTCTATTTATATGCGAGAAATGAGTGGAATTGGTCTAATGTGGGTTATTGACTCCGCGAAACCAAACCTTGTTTCAATTGTTTATATTAGAAATTAGGCGATTTTTTCGCCAACTGTAACGCAACATTAGAATGATGCTGAAAACCTGATACTGGTGGGCTTCGGTGTGAGCGCCTAAAAACTAGTTCTTGCAGACATGTTGGTGCCAACCACCTACCTATGCGACTTACTGAACCAGGTTTGCAACTAGTGAAAGTGTTTCTCGATGTTCATACAATGCAAATAGCAATTTCTTGATGGCATTTGGTACCGTTTACACCGCGAAATTGAGACCCCTAGTAGCAGTTGAACAGCAAACGAGTTCAATTTTAGAGCAGCTTTTTGGGTCTTATAACTTGTTTTTGAGTCTCGCATCGCTTCAGTCTGCTCAGTTGTTTATTCATCTGTCGCAAGTAGGAGTGGTTTGCATCCTCAGAGGTGTGCTTGCTTCGAATGAAACCTTTCGATTGAAAATCCCAAAAAACACCAGTTTCCAGCAACAGCCCGAACTTTAATTTTAATTTTGTTCCAGATGTATGTTCCGGTTCCCAAGTACCAATATACGATTGTCCTTTCAATCGCTAGTTGATGATGGATTGGATTCGGCAGCTCCTAATGTGCGAGAAGTGTCGCCTGTACGCATCAGGGAGCGAGCTGGAGGAGGCAATTCGTCAGGAGCTATGCATCCGCTACGCATAAATATACCTGAAGGTGAATTTGGAAACAGTCCTTTCCCATCTCCCACTGGGACTATTAGTGCCGCCAATAGTTGCCCAGCAAGTCCAAGAAGTGAGTTAAGGCGATTGAAGCAGTAGCTCATTCTTAACCATCGATATCGATCGTTGTGCTGATTGCACGACATTAGCAGCTATTTGAGTGTGTTTGCAAAAGTTGACTTTTTCTGTAGGTCACCATGGGGTCAGTCAGGGCAAGAGGAACGTTCAGGCTGATTTGCAAATGGTGGCGGCGTATGCAGCTGCTCAAGTGGCTCATCGAGATGATGGGCATCTCTCACAGAGTCACAGTCCCGACTACAGACAAACGACATCGAATGGCAACTCAGTAAGCCTCTTCAATAACACTTGTTCTAGCTACTTGAACCCTTAGATGATCGGTTGCTATTGCATCTACTATTTCTCACTTCCATTGCATTGTCTATTCATCATTATTTCGCGCTGGCTTTGTGTGCATTTGCGTAGCAGTGGAGAAACTCACTTGAATCCATTTTCATGTTTCGCCAACATTATGAGCGTCTGGTCGACAAACCTGCAAGTCAAAACAACAAAAGCATTTACGCTATAGAACGGATATAAATTATCTGCGCATTTCACAATCAATACTACTGCTTTCAACTATCGTGGCATTTAAGGAATTGTTTTGTAAATTGCAAATTATTTCCGAATAGCAAGGCTTATGCCATATAAATGAATAGTGAACAGTGGTCTAGGTCAACATAAAATCGTATAAGCAAATGGTGTTTTGCCGATTAAATTGGCTGGTACCTCGAAGCAATTAGAATCACTGTCGCTCTAATTAGCTCGGAAGAAACCTGCATTTGGTCTGACAACTAATTCTATTTGGTAAACATCTTTCAAGTATCGGATTCAATTTTTTTAATTAATTTAAAGCATAAATCCTAGTTAATATCAATTCAGCAGGATCACAACGATGCTAAAAAATTCGAAACTACTACTACTGCGCCTTACAAGTGATTTTTCTTAAGCATATTTAAATAATTAGTTTTGATTGGAACAGATTGTGGCAATTAGTAATTTGTTGTCCGAAACGTGTTTGCTTGCTTCAATGACTCGCTTTTATTTATACTTTTATGATTAGTTCAATTTTCACTCACGCGCTGGATGTAATTAGGTTTTAGTATCGTACCATAAACGTCCCATTTAACTCGATCTTTCCCCTAGGCTCCATCTGTTGTAATAAATGATGGCTATATAGCGAGTGGAAGCGGCAAAGATGACTCAAAACCGCCCTTTTCGTACGCTCAATTAATAGTGCAAGCTGTGGCCAGCGCTGCCGATAAGCAATTGACGCTCTCAGGGATTTACAGTTACATAACCAAGCACTATCCATACTACAGAACAGCCGATAAGGGATGGCAAAATTCAATCAGACACAATCTTAGTCTAAATCGATACTTCATCAAGGTAACATTAGTTTTTTGAAGGAAAACATTGAGTTATTGAGCTTCTTGTTTTAGGTGCCCAGAAGCCAGGAAGAGCCCGGAAAAGGTTCCTTCTGGCGAATCGATCCTCAATCAGAGTCGAAGTTGATCGAACAGGCCTTCAGACGTCGGCGTCAGCGAGGAGTATCTTGCTTCCGAGCTCCTTTCGGTTTAAGTTCACGGTACGTTCCTGGGAGAGAACTGAAATAATTCCATAATAATCATTTTACGTTATGGTTACATAATATTCAACGATTAAGTATGTGGAAAACAAGTGTAGCAAACTCATGAATGACATCAATTTCATAAACAATTCGTATTTGTGCGAGTTATGTTTTTCATAGCAACAACACATCAATAACGTGATGCATTCAAGCGACAAGCTTTATGACGATTTTTATCTGATGTAATCTATAATAAATGGAATTAAATATCTGAGACGTTCAAAACGTGCAACTTAGACCTTAGATTGGTGGACGTTGGTAATCATCATTATAGTCACTTAATGTTTACGATGCTTCTAGGAGTGCTCCAGCTTCACCTTCGCATTTAGGAATTTCGGACGTTATGACTCCGGATTCTCTGTCTCGTGAAGGATCTCCTACTATGGATCATGGTATCGACGTTAGTCAATCCGCTCCGGGTAGTCCAGGAGCCGCTGTAGCGCGCGCTGGATCTGGCGGTATGATCGGACATCAGCAGATGTCAGCTTTAGTGGGTGCGACCAAAGCGAGGCTCATGCTGCCTCAACACCATCAGGATCATTACATTGAGCAACAAGTTATCGATCGGCCCTCGTCTAATGGGCAACAAGAATATCGGGAAGGTGAGTGTGAGGCGTAATAAAAACGTTTTCATTACATTCAGCAAATCAATTACACACACGATTCATGATTGTCTGGATTCTTCTATCCGAGTATATCACGCGCGTTCAAAATAGACGGCGCAACTGTCGGGCTAAACATTCAAAATATACATGAAGAATCTGCTGAAAGAAGTTAAAAATAGTGACAAGGTTGGATATATTTAACGTATACTTCAGTCGCGTTTAAAACATGATTTTTGGCCAGCAGAACGCCTCATCTGCTTTCAAACTGATCGAGTAAACTTCTGTTCGCTGTTTCTACTTAATGTGGCTTTTACCAAACCCAGTATCTGATTTTCATATCTGCATGTTCAATCAAACAGTCGCTTTTTGGCAGCACGTTTGATTCTTATGTGAATATGCATATAGAAAAATACTTTACATGCAATGTATAAACAATCCCCAGACAAACTGACTCGAATTGATATTCCAAACTTCCGAAAGGAGTGTAGAAAATAATATATTTTAAAATACAACAAATACTGAAGACTATTCTTTTCCAGAAAAATTCCTTGTCAGTTCTATGGAAGAGCGTTCAATGTCTCCGACGCCTTTTTCGCCACAGCCCGTCATCGTTCAGGCTGCAAACTACTCACCATACAGGTACGAGCTCTTATTATCCACACTATAATAATATAAAGTAACGTTTATTTTTCTAGTGGTAACAATTACGGCAACATAGGTATAGATTTGAAAAGACAACTGGAAGAACAAAGCGTTGGTAGTCCATCTAGCTCCGGCGAAATGGACGATCCAGAAATTAAACGACAGCGCTTAATTCAGCCCAAATACGAGACCGAGTAAATCAACTGCATACTTATGCTATATGTAAGAGACAGGTACGTATGCATTCTTACTTATCTTGTCTTTTGTTAATATCGTAATGTTACAGTACAATTGAGAAGCAAAAATGCGGTTTCGTTATGTAAACATTTAAAACAGGCATTGTTTAATTTAGGTCGAAGATTGATCTTATTCTTGCTTTTGCACTGATTTACGTTATAGAAGATGGACTTAATGAAAATTTGGTTATCGTGTCTAAAACGCGGCCCTTAAAAATCTAATTTACGCCCCAAATGAGTGCAAGAGTAAGAAAAGTTCAGAGTAACAGGTTTTATTGATAATGTACGCCCCCTTTTTCGTGTGATACGGCAATAAGTCATGAGAAATTGCGCAAAGAATGTCTTTCGGTGTCATTTATATAGTCTTCTTATGCGGATACATTTAAGGTAACAAAACTTAAGCGATTTTTACGTAAGTTAAGTGATATTCAAAGTCGACAATTTCATACTGGCACTGATAAAAGATTTATCAGGTTGGCTTGTCAAGTATTTATGATATTTTGCAGTTGCAAATTTTCCATATTCAAAATATACATTTGCAGACATTCTGAAGATATCACTATAGGTCGGAAATTATGCATAAAATAGATATTTACCTATTTGCAACAATGACAAGAAATATCAGTCTTTTTTTCTATCAGTCGGAGTTCAAACATGAAACACTTCGTCTAGTTTTCTTTAATATATGGACAACTTTCGGATAGAAAAAAGTAATTTCTGAATTTTAAGTGATGGAATATAGATCTATTAAATCTAGATATATCTAATAGATCTCATATTCTAGGAATGTTTATTGCTTTTTATATGAATAAATTTCTCCAATAGGAACGACTGAACAATATTGGATCAGCATGTATTTTTCAATGTTTTTATGTGATTAATTGAAGAAAACTTTCAAAAGCCGAATGGTATTTGATGGTTAGAAAGTTTTGTTGCAAAACACAATTTTATTTCCTGGCAGTTTTGATTAATGTTGAATGAAATTCTAGTGCTTTTCAAAATGATGTACATTTGTACTTGTACATAGTGTATATGTCATTTAAATAATATGCTATCTTTGAAAAAATACTTTGTGCAAGCAAAACATATTTGGACTCTTCAAATTCTGATTTATGGGAGGTTAACCGCTCACTCAATCACCAGATTTATCTGCAGAATTTTCTACTAGTATTTTTATTTAACATATTAAAGTGCCGTATTAATAAATAGCATCCACCCAGTGTTTGTTAATTAATTAAGACTTTTTTGTACTAGCGTGGTTGGTGCGACTTCTATGCAATACGCTTAAAATATATTAGGTTTGATGGTTTTGGATGTTTGGTTCTTATTTGTCTAATGCCCAGTTTATCAAGCCTTTGAATTTATTCTGTTCAATTTGTCAAATAAATTTAAATGACTTTCATAATGTTTGGTGAGCATTCCTGAAGTTAATTCTTATTGGATGCTTTGGCAAGTAAAAGTGACCAGACATTTATTATCAGTCATTCTGATGTATGAAAATGAGCAGAACAATTTCGAGCATTTAATTTCAGTTGGACTTTATTAAGACGGTTATAATTGAGGAAGCCCCTGATGGCTGAAAAGTGGTTTGCATTGTAAATAAGCAGTTATTACGGATATAGTGGGCTTACATGTAAAAACTGTACTCCGGTTTTCGACCCAAAACTGGTCTTACCCTGTTAGTTGTATGTATACAGAACTATACTTGTAGGGATAAATAATAAAGTAATATTGCTGTGAATTTTTTGTTTTAGTGTTGTGTTGATAAACTTCTAGGATGTTTGTTTTGCATTTGCTATGTTTATGGATTTACCCATTTGGGGATTGGCTTAATCCGCGCAATATGAGCGTTTTAATGAGCGAAACGCAGACAGATGATGGTGGTTTCTGGCTCTTTTGCAATCGAAGTAAAACATTTCTTGCTTTCTCAACATGTATTTTGCTACTTGAACCTTAACATAGGGGGATGTTCTTTCGCTTACCTCCAGCATTAAAGGCGGATTATTATATAGAAAAAATAAAATGAAAATAATATAATTTATTACCTATATTTCCTAACTTGCTACAGGACAAGACTAAGCGCTTTAGTTGGCGACATTTCAATGGTCGATATAAAACAATGTCATATAACAAAAAAAGTGTATAATATTATCAGTCTTTTGTAAAGAAAGCGCTAAAACTAAGAACTATTTAAATATGCTTTGCTTCATCTGTATGTTTCTGTTATATGACATATTAATTAAAAATAAAAGATGCACAAACACAATAGTTTAACAAATTATGAAGACAACTGGTCCAGTGATGAATGCCAAATAATCAACAATAGTACTGATGTTATGAATAACATGTTATCAATAACATCAGTATTATTGTTGATTAATTCGCATTCATTTTTACCTCAAATACGCGCCAACAGAACTTACAGCCTTTTGTTAAAATAGAACCGGTCGTGAAAAGTACGGCCGAGAAGCAACTTGTGTCCATATCCGTGTATAGGTCCCAACAGGCCCAAGTAAATAGTGCGAAATTGCAGCTTGAAAAGTTCAGTAAAATGCTTAATAATCTGGACATTGATTATTTACCCGATAAAGGCGAGTCAACTAAAAGCAGAGTGAGGTAAGATTTGAAATATCGGTATTTTCGCAAACATCCCTGTTCTTACTTCTCTTTAGGGAGGCTGAGGAGAAATACAACATGGAAGTAGCCAAACTGCAGAAAATGATTGCATCTGACGACATTCAAGATGTTCAAGGCCCCAGAGTTTTAGCCGCGGTTCCTTGGTCGCAAATAGAGGCTGGAGCTAATGCGGTGGTTCCCAAAACATTCAGAATTGTCAGAATCAAGTASTATCGCTGGTSGTTCTACTGCCGGATTTTYCAACTAAAATATTCAATTCATTATTGAAATGTGAAATTTTATGGAAAACTTACGTCTGCGATTATATTATGTTCCTCATTATCAGATTCCTCTTCATCAATCTCAGCTGAAGATTGTCGGTTTGAATCTGACTCGCTATCAGTATATATAATGGGAACCTAAAGTTGCAACAGATTGTGGTGGTTTAATAAATAATAACTCTCTTTTCAAGTCCTATTTTTGTAGAGATAAACACCAAGGACTGATAAAAACAAAATATAAAATACTTCACATACCTTTTTAACATTCCTTTGTCCGAATCTAAAATCGTCTTCAGTTTTGTCGACTTCGTTGGATGATGAATTCGAACCTTGTTCATCTGACTCGTAGGTTTCGTCTATGACAGTATCTAGACATAGATTCTTCAATTAAACCTTTATTAAATAAAACATTTTAGATACTTTTTGAACAATGTTAGTATTTCAAGCTATCACTTGGGGCTAGAAAGTACCCGGCTATTGTACTTGCGAGTTAAACTGTTTTTTGGCTAATTCGTCAATAGTTTTTATACTGGACTGTGGCCAAACGCCACAAATAAAAAAATACCATCGAAAATATTACCATTCTCACGTTTACTTGTGGCTGCATCGCTGTCTTCCAGAAAACAATCCTCAATAAAAACAATGTTCTTTAACTGGTTGAGCGCTATTTAAAGCAGCTACTTACCAGATCCGTCGCTCTCATTACACTTACAAATTGCAAATGGTTTGATAAAAAAATATTTCTGATTCTTCGAAAATAACTGCCGTCAATTTCGAATAGGTTGTCTTAACAATTCCTCCAGTTGAAATGTGTCGATATCTTCTCAGTGTTGCCAAATGTGGTGCTTCACCCAAAGTTTTTCAATAATTCCGGCTATATTGGAATAAAAAAAATAAAAAATAAACTTCTAGGATGTTTGTTTTGCATTTGCTATGTTTATGGATTTACCCATTTGGGGATTGGCTTAATCCACACAATATGAGCGAAACGCAGACAGATGATGGTGGACGTATTTCTTACTAATTTGCAAGCGAAATAAAACAACATTTCTTGCTTTCTCAATATGTATTTTGCTACTTGAACCTTAACATAACGGGATGTTGTTTCTCTTACCTCCAGCATTAAAGGCGGATTATTATATAGAAAAAATAAAATGAAAATAATATAATTTATTACATATAACAACTCTCACTAAAACAAGTTTTGGATATCCACACAAATTAAATAAACTTATGTTTACTATTATTTATGATGAACATTAGCAGTAGGACTTCTTTAAATATATTTAGGACGATTTTCACATTTATGCATCCAACTCTCTCAGCGTACACTTTTGAGATTCCAATACGCTCTTTCATTTACCCTTATATGTATGTAACTGTAATTTTTGGTGATGAAAACGACAATATTTCCTAACTTGCTACAGGACAAGACTAAGCGCTTTAGTTGCCGACATTTCGATGGTCGATATAAAACAATGTCATATAACAAAAAAAACGTGTATAATATTATCAGTCTTTTGTAAAGAAAGCGCTAAAACTAAGAACTATTTAAATATGCTTTGCTTCATCTGTATGTTTCTGTTATATGACATATTAATTAAAAATAAAAGCTGCACAAACACAATAGTTTAACAAATTATGAACACAACAGCCAGTTCCTAGCTAGTTTGGTTACGCCAGACATGAGTAAAAATTGTATTTACACAAATGAAAAAAAAGTTCAAACCAGAGAAAAAATATTTTTTTATTTTGCCTTTGACTTGGTTGTACACTGTTGGCTTTAATTTCAACTTCGCTTAAATTACTAAGGAATGTTCGGTATTTGATAAATACTTGGCTATTTACATAGGCAGGTAGTAGGAGTTTGGTTTTCATCCCAGATTAGTTCAATATTTTCGATCTAATTATTATTTAGCTCTCAATGTTCTCCCATTGTTTTGTTTCTTATTAGCCTAGTTTTACAGCTGAGTTTCGACTTATCGGATGATTAGAGAGAGTACAGTTAATATTAGCGAAAATAGTAAAGAATTCGTAAGCGCGCTTGACGATGCTGAGAGGAAGCCGCATTCTCGTGGTCCATAATTCTGACAATGCAACTGAAAAACAAAAAATCAAATTAGAAACAAAATCGGTAAAATATGCCTAAATCAATGGGAAACCTCTCTGTGATGCGGCATTAGGAAGCAAAATCGAAAACACATAGAGCAACAGAACTCGTTACAAATGTTGTCATAATCACGTTTGGTTTATTTGGATATCATTATTACGTGCATTATATTTGATATCGACGTCCATCACTGTTTGTTGTGTTTAATGCTTGTTTCTTTATTACAGCCATAACATATTTTATATTCCCCAAATATGAGCGATCAACACCAGTAGCATGCGAATCAATATATCCATATTGTAGGTCAAACTCAAATTTTTCCTTCGCATTATATGGAAATAATCCGATCAGCTTTTGTATGTAGGTTTCTATTATTAGTCTCCCTAAGTGCATTAGTCAGTCAATATTCTCATGAAAATGAAAGAATGTCCAAAATTTGCCACTTCCAAAGGCTCATTTGGCGCCAGCATCGGTACATCAACATTTTTCCTTGTTATAAAATTTAATTGAATACCTTTTTCTAAGCGCCCAGCCCGGTAAAGCCTTTTATGCAAATGAAGGGCCAAATAATTGCCTCATTTTCATTACTTTTCTTTTTTTTTAATGCGCCTCACTGGGTTATATGTACCGAATGAATATATTGCTGACTCGCAACAGGAACATTTCCCCTAAACATGTTTGGTAAACAAGCTTAGTCGCTATACATGTTAGCTGATAACAGAATGGTCAGCTACTGAACAATGGAAAAACGCTGGTTTCATTTTATTAACGACTCGATGACTGCAGAAATATTTTTTTTGGTATGTACGAGTCCTAAAATTGATTTCAAGAGCAAACTATTAGGAAATTTGCGTAGTCCAAATCCTCATGAATTCATATACAAGGTGATTCAAAAATCATTCATTTGAGGACTGTAAATTAAGGTAATTTTTTAAAATATAGGGTGCGAAAAAATAACGGCGTTTTTTTGATACTTTTGCAAATAACGCGAAAACGGGGGCAAACATAAAAACAAAATTATAAGGTAAAAACATTTCTTAATGGAACAAGGAATTTGAAAGAAAATCGTCGTCAGGCTATAAGAAAAAAAGTTTGATTCCTTTCCCGACCGATCAAAAAACGCTTAAAATGTGCCGAAAATGTCTATTATTTCAGATCTGAAACTTCTAGCATGTTTTCAATGAGTTCGATGCATTCCTTGCGTCCGTGAGATGAAAATGATGTAAAATTTAAGACATTTTGAGAACATTTTCATTTTTTCAAAAAATCGACCCCCACCCTTTCGACCAAAAACAAATTTTACATGCGTGTTTTTTGAGCTCAATCGATTCTTTTCTGCGTAAGAAGGTCACAAATATGCATTTATAAAGTGTTTGACTCAATAATAAGACGAAGAAATCGTCGGTTAAAGATCGTGAACGCTCAAAAAACCCTTAAAATGTGCAGAAAATGTCTATTATTTCGGATCTGAAACTTCTAGCATGTTTTTCAATGAGTTCGATGTATTCCTACCTTCCGTGAGCTGATAATGATGTAAAATTTAAGACATTTTGAGAAAATGTTGACTTACTACAGAATGCAAAACGTTTGAAAACTGCGAAAACTATGATGGTCTCAAATATTAAACTACCTGTACTGTATATTGTACTAACCTGTATCATAGACGATGACATCTTATCTAGGAACTTTCTGTTGAAATCAGCTGCCTCTGAGCCACATGCTGTTCGTGTTGTTGATGTTGAGCATTCTACGTATTCTTGAAAGGAGCTGAAAAAAAGATCGCAAAGTTGTAGCAAAAACTAAAACACTCCCCAAGTTTGCGGTGAAAAGTAAGCAAAAAAACCCTTGGCCAGATAGTTAAAATGTTTGGCCTGAGTTCAGCTTTGGAAGCTCAGCGATATTAGATTATTTTTAAATGGACCGTGTACACAGTGATAAAGAGTTAGTTAATATTTAAAGGGTTCGCTAAAAAGTGAAATTTCCATATTAATGAATATTTTAATGACCATTGTGGAAATATTTTTTGGGAGCTTAGAGATAATGCGCCCGAACTTTGCCATGAGAGCGCTACACTTTATAATTAATAGCTGTTGGCAAGCAGGAATTATTTGTATGTAAATTTGCGTTTGCGTTTTAATCGACATCATTTTGCTGGCAAAAAAACAAGGACGATCTGCATCAGTTGGAATGATTCAATTTCAGTTCCTTCCGGCAAAAAATTATCACTCATCAAAAGTGCCTCGTTACGCCATGAAATTTAAAAACTATTCTTTTGCGTCTCATTAAAAGAAAATCTGTCACGTCTGGTTCTTAAGGATTTATTCGCTTCGGTTAAGAGTTATTAATAGTTGCATTTGAACTGGTGGGTTTTTCGGGTGTTTAGCAACTTAGACCTTTTCTGCAAAGGCCAAATAGAACCTCTTTTGAGCTGAATTTGTTAAAAAAACTCAACTTATTGTTTGTTGCTATTTAAATGCAATTGCAGGTAATTAATTATCGATGATAAGTTGAGCAAATTGATACCGGAAAAAACTGTTTTCGTGTTCTCCTGTTGTGGGAAACTTGGATTTCTTGCTACAACTCCATAAAAATGGATCCCCTTTAAATAAAGAAGAAGCTCACAATAAAATCGAGCTATTGAACGGCCACTGCGACCACATTGCCGAGTAAAATATTTACGATAATAAAATTTCCCTAATATTTTATTTTCTTTTTAAAAGGATCACGTCTTTGAAATGCTGCAAACCCCATATAAATGGAAAATATGAATTATTGGGAGACGTGTCTTAAAAGTTAAAGGCCCCAAAAGTTAAATTTATGATTTACTTTTACCGCGGCGCGTATATTTGTTAAGAAGGTGAATAAAGTAGGAAAGTTGACAAACACTTTTTTCCGTATTTATCCGTTAGTGCAGGTGCTTGGGTTTGGTTTAGTCAAATTGATAGTTGTTTGTTAGACAAACTCACCAGCAAACGTTTTTAATGCCCTCATCGGCTGCATCTCGCTTTCGCTTCATCGTCTTTGAAAAAGCCTCCTGACTAATTAAAATGTCTTCTTGTGTGATGTCGTCCATAGGTGTTTTGGCCTGGATCTCGTTCATTTTTCTGTTGTACTGATTGAAACAGACCTCATTCTCCTTTTCAATTGTTTGCATACATGGGGCGTATTTGAGAAATTCTGCAAATAAAATCAATTTTCAGTTGTTGTTTGTACTTATTTTGACTTGTCGCTCGCTTCAGTGCATTCAAACAGGTAACAAACGGAAATACAAATACAATTTTAAAATGCTTAATTTCGATTTACATAAAAGCCCTGTCGATTTTACGGCATTAAATATACAAAGCATTTAAATATATTTAATTTCATTCGACTGATTTTCGGAACGTTCTGGTTATTATTCAGTTTTAATTATTTACGTAACATAGTAGAGAAAATTGCTGATGAAATCCAAAGCCAATGTTGTCGAAAATGTATTTCAGTTCTTTATCATTATTGAATGAAAACATGATACAAAAAAATTGAAAAGTTCTAGACTGTTAACGCAGAGAAAATGAACCTTCTTCTRTTTACCTTCTTGATAAGTGCCATTTCTGCATAGATTGCTCACCATCTCTCCGGTGCCATGAAACAGTTTCTTGAAGTTCTTCCTRTCCTGGAACTTCATGCAGAATCTAGTGTAGCGATGGATGCAGCTAATTGCCTCCTTTAAATCCCTGCGCAAGAAAGCGGCGTTTAGATGTGAGTTWAAGATTTAAAAATCAAAAAGTGCCTCCAATTATCTGGCAACGTACAAAGTGGTCAGAAATTTATCAGGCCGGATAATTGCTAACTCTTAGCTTCGCGTTTAGGAAAGGAAAATTTGAATAGAAGCGCCCGAGTAATAAGTGCTTAGTCTCCCCCAATTTATTTAGTTGCGCTCTAGACTCGATTGAGTTTTATTATTTCAGCACGAAAACTTACACTTTGAATTTGTTTGATTGAAAAGTTTACAAAAACATTTTAGTGCGTAGTAGTTGGAATTCAGAGGAGCTGTTTCAATTGTATAGAGAACCCATAAAATACAACAATTGCCATTTTACGATATTCCCATCGTTTCCAACTGGAGGTAGCACTAAAAGTGCCCCACAATTATATCGCTTTCCTCAAAGCGATTAGTGACAAAACCAAAGTAATGCGATTTGCGCCCCAACAGAGGCGTACTTTAATTTATTATGTTTGCCTCAAAGTTGGAGTTTCTAATCTAGATGAAAATTGGTCTAAAATCGCCCTAGATAGACATTTTTGGGCGTTTTTGTATGGAGCAAAACCGATTGGAAGTAACCAACTTCTCTGAACTTCAGGAATTAATTCTCTGAATGATTCGAAGAAATTTGAGAAACTTGATATTTTTCGACGAAAAATTAAAATTTAACATGGTTGTTTTTTAAGCTGAACGGAAAAATCGGAATTGGTCAAAAACCGCTTAAAATGGGTCAAAAATGTGCATCATTTCATATTGAAGCTTCAAGGGTGATTTTCATTATACTCATCCCAATCCCAGCTTATTTTTTTGTGTAAATTATGAATGATTCGCAGAAATTTGAGAGATTTGATATTTTTCGCAAAAATTTACCCTTATAAAATTTTCGATCAAAAATCAAATTTTTACATGCATGTTGTTGGATGCATGCTGAATGGATTCATATATTAATGATATCTAATAAAAATTAAAGATATCGTCGGTTGAAAATCGTAATGSTTRAAAACYGCCTAAAATGGGCCAAAAATATCGATTATTTTCGATCTGAAACTTCCAGTGTGTTTTTCAATGAGCTCTTTACATTTTTCGCGTCACTTTGATAGAAATAATGTAGAATTTCAGGTTTTTTTTGAGCAAATTGATATTTTTCGAAAATCAGAATTTTMCATCGGAWRTCAGAATTTTMMAGTTGAATGGTTTGTTTACGACTTAAGAAGTTCGCCTATTTGCATATAAAAAGTGTTAAAATCTAAAATAAGAAAGATATCGTCGGTTAAAGATCGTAACTACTCAAAAACCTCCGGAMCGAAAATGTGGATTATTTTGGATCGAAATTTGGTSAAAATGTGGATTATTATTGTGTGGAAATTTTACTAAACTAAACGCACCATTCGATTGGTTTTCGGCAGATTTTAAAACTTAAAAAACGATATTTTCCAACATTGATKTMASTCCGCAGACTAAATTGAACTGCTCAAAAACTTTMAACTTTCAAAACTCACTTTCCAAGTTCAATAGCTCGARAACTGGAGATTGGAGAAATGGAGAAYTGACGATTTCCTCAAAGGCGACTTTTCCTAAGAAAATTACCAGTTGAGTTTCTCTGTCGCTGAAGATCAGCATTTCGATAATATATTTTGGAAAACTTTAAAAAATCGCCCAAAATTCCCAAGCGTTTTTCCCTTTCGATAGAGAGAGTGGAAGAAAATGTGCGATTACAAAAGAGTTTTTGAGTTTTGGAGTTTTTCACTGTGACAATTTAAAAAACTTGGCGAATTTCTGAAACTCCACTAAACTAAAGCGCAAAACTCGGTTGTTTCTAGGCGGATTTGCAAATTTCAAAATTCAAATTTTAGAGCAAGGGTGATCGATTCACATCGACATTTCTAACGACGCCCTAAAAGCCCGAAAATGCTGTATTTTGCAACGTTTGAAATGAACCCGTTTGTAAATCCTAAAATGTATTAGTCTATAAGTGCCTTAATTGCTACCCCACTGGTAACATGTTCGGTAGCCAGTAAAATCGTGCAATTTCAGCCTCAGCCCGAATGCGCCGTATAATTTTAAAACATAAATTTGAAACTATTGTAAGGGCGAATTTCGAGCCGGCCTTCCTCGTTTTCTGATAAGGCCAAACATTCCTACATATAATATCCGAAACATGTAGGCATTATTTCCTTTTAGCATGCTAATATTTCACCAAAAGTATCCAATAACTTCAGTATCAGGGTTGCCATAAATTTCCCTTCAGCCACATGATGAATTTCAAAAGATTACGAAATGATAACATATTGTGTGGTTTTGAGTACACATTTTCTAAAGGGTGTCCGCAGAAGTGTGGGCCTCAGTTTGAAAATTGGAAAGTTTCCAAACCCCCTTCAATTAAGCGTTTTAGGAACAAGCTAACTTGAGTATCCACTAAACTCCCTGTAACTAAAGTACCGAACACTCTTCAAACCGTCTCATGTTCCTTTGAGATAATAGAGATCTTACAAATCTTCTACTTACGGGCAGATCCTTTCCAAGTCAGCTTTAGTGGATACCAGCGTGAGTCCAGAGTCCAGGACTGAAAGAGGTTTCGCGCACATCATTAATTTATCAGCAGTGCAATGGGTGTTTTCTGCTCTAACTTTGGTGGTGATAACTGGAAAAAAGTAAATTGGCTTTTAAATATTTAATGCGATTTCATTCACGCTATTTTAAATAGAAAAGGCGCAATGCAAATTTCCCGTTTTAGTTGGTTTTAGTTAGTCGAAAATGAATTCCGACTGTCGATTCAGGAAAATTAAACCGGCGATACTCCGGAACCAACTTGCGGAAAATTAAACAGCTGCACAAAGGGCCTTTTGTTGCAAACAAAAATAGTAAAATCTATCCAAAAGGGCAAAGTGTCTATTAATTCGACTACAAAATGTTGCATTTTTTGGAAACTAGTTTGCGGCACAATGAAATTAATAGTTGCTGGGGCAATTTAATTAGGAAATGGCCTAGTTTTTCGTTGCTGTTGATCAATCCGATTCGCCGAAAATCTGGTTAACTAAGTCTATTAGTTCGGCTTATAGTAACCCGAGTATCTCACTTTGGACCGTCTAAACACGAACTAATTAACAAATATTCTCGCGGCTTTTAACAAGTTGGGAAACGGTTACCTAAGTAATGCATTACCCCGATGGGACATCTCAGTCTTGAGAAGGCATGCACAACAGTTTGCCCTCTTTAAGGATAAATGGCGATAAGAAACAGTGACGAAGTGGCTCCTTGCGCCATGCTATTTTCTTGTCCCTTCCGGATTAATCGAGATGTGTTGCGAAATATATTTCATCATGAAAATCGCTTCTTGAGCACTTTCACAGATAATAGTTGACAATTTAAAACAACACGCCCGACGTGCATTTCCAGATAAAAATGTTTCCACTGTAGAAAATCTACAAAGTTTTCCAGTGAAGAAATGCCCTTGATTGATTTGCCCGAAATTGTTGGAAGGTTCTTTAAATCTTCGAGGTTGCTTTGTATTTATTATATATATTATTACATTATTTATTGTATATTTCGTCGGTCTACACGCGCCCGGTGTAACATCGACCGACTTGGCTCAAAAAATGTTTAAACCACTAGATTAAAGATTTATTTGCAGCAAATGTTATTAAAATGTGTTCTATACAAAACGCGGTCTTTTTTATTGAAATTAATTTATTTGATATAAGTGCCAGACGAACTATTATAACAATGAACATTGAAACGATCGAAACTGTGGGTTTTTTGCGCTTTTAAGCCGTCGTGGAAAAGTGATTCGACTGGGCGTTTCACACGCACAAGTCTAAACAAAATAGCCTGGTCTAACCAGAATTTTTCTCAATATTTACCTAAAAACACAATTTCATTACTTAGAGTTTCGATAGAAATCAGTCCTAAGGCACAATTGCAAATCTATTTTATAGATGGGAGCACAAGTTCTGCTTTAGCAGGAATATTTTTCTGGTTTACAAAATATTATAGTTTTAATGAGCATTTGCTTGTGGATAAGTGTTGAAGTTATAACTTGCTTGCTGTTTCTGGACACAAATCATTTTATTTTTTGCTTGCTACCTTAATAAATTCAGAAAAATGTAGAATATGGTTCACATCAGGACTTTGGAATTTGCTATTTAAAGCCTACACGCTATAATAACTTGGATTATAGCATTTTCTCATTTAATTTAAGCAGATTTTTGCACCAAATAAACACAACAACAACTTTCTTTACGTGTTTGCATTCGGTGATTGAAGTGCGTTTGACTTTATGTTTTCATCGACTTTTGTGGCCTGTAAGTTAAAAACTTTTCAAAATTCAAAAACAACCTCTTTTAAATTCATTTCTTCTTAAGAGATAGAAGCGAAAATGCTCACTGTAAACTTGCCGATCGATGAATTTTTGATAAAAGCAGTGCCCGAATAAATCGGCACAAATTTCACATCGAAAGTTGTCTGATCCATGATCATGATTTCTTGCTAAGTGAAAGTTTTAATCCATATGTTTATCAACCCTGTACTTGTGTTTTTAAACTGCAAATGGTGTAAATTGAGAGAAAATTTACATTTTGATAAAGACTGCTTGTATAAAATGAACTAACGAGGAAAAATAAGCAGGTTAAGGTGATATGGGAAGCGGCGTACTACTTGGGGGCGCGTTGAATGTCTTGTTAAAATTCGGAAAATGTTTCCAGAGCACACATCAATTTCAATTTCCATAATTTGGAAGGCAAAATAGTCGTTGGGGTAATTCGGTTATCTCCTGTTTCACATTCTATTAGAGGGAAAAAAGAGCGGCAGTCGTTAAAGGCATAACTGAGTTCCTTGCTGCCGGATTAAATTTTAGAGAGAAGAATGGAAAATTATCGGTATATATTATCCATGCAGAGATTGAGCTAAAAGTGTATAAAACTTGTGTCTAAAGTTATGACCATGCAGTCACTGAACGCCTTGTATAATGTTATAAAGAGTTTTATTTGAGCATTTTTAAAATAAAATGTTTCGTTTCAATTAGACTGCCAAACGAAAGTGGCAATAAGAATTCGCCCCTTCGTCCCTTAATGGAAACCTGTTAAATGTTACGTTCCGACACCAAATTCGGTGGGTGAAAAACGCTCTCATTTTTGCCTGGAGATCTTGAGGAAATTTCAAACAATGGAAACGCAGCTGGAATTTTGCCGATTATTATTATTATTATTATTATTATTGCCATTAAGGTTCAGACACTAAATATGGCGAATTGTTTTGTGTGCCCGAAGAGCCTTTTGAATAAAGATAAGGGCATTGTTTCGCAACGATCCTTTTAATAGGTGAAAGAAAATGATGAATAATAAACAAATTAGCATTTTATGACCAGATGAGATCGGCATTTCATTGGCCACATACATTTATTTGCTTCCAAACTTTGTTTGATGATGTGATTTTCCAACATCTACTAAAGAACCATTAATTTCGTGGAAAGTGTGTCGACGTCGAGCTTTATGTACAAATCATATTGGATTTATTGAGCGAGTTTCATTCGGCTTTTTGTCGTTTTTCTTCAAACCCATCCAACTTGAGAAATGAAATATGTGATATGTCATGCCTAAGATAAATAAAACTCCATTATTTCGAAAACTAACTTCAAAGAGGGAACTGAACAAACAGGAAAGTGGCGTTGGGAGGCAGGGTTTTTTGAAAGCAATGAAATTGATCGAACGAAAGAACCACTGGGGAAGCTTTAAAAATTCAAAGGACATTTCTTATTGTTTTATTCAACCATGTTTAAAGAGTATTTTTGCTGATGAAACCGTGCAAACTTCTCGGGATTCTTCTATAGCTAATTCGCAAATTAATTCAGTCAACTGAAGTCCAAGTAGCAAACTCGAGTCGACGAGCAAAGAAAAATACCATTGAGGCCGAAGTCTCACCGCTCTTCCTCTATGGCGAGACAATGCGGTATAATGAGTTGCACATTGTTTACACTTTGCACTTAAGGGCACTTTATATTTCACTTTTGTACCGTAATGGTTTTACGCGAAAAACTTCCCCAAGCTGAACTTCTTTTATTAACTTCCCGCCAGCTCTGCCCATTGTTTTTCATTGAACGCTGTTGATTTTTTTAATGGCTTTTAAATGGCCCGAAACCGATTAATCTTTCTATTAATTAATTTAAGTATTGAGTATTGGTGAATGACTAAAAATTAATGGATTATACAAATGAGGATTTATCTAAGTTAATTAAGAAAGATTCTTGAGGGCATTTACGAAGTTCAGGATGATACTGCTTGCGATTTGAGCGTAATCTTTGGGGCATTTTAGGGGCCAGGAAGCGGAAAAATATGATATTAATTGATAAAATCTGGTTCGGCAATTTTAAGCATATTTTGATACTGAAAGGTTTTAAACTATTCTCGCCCTATTTTTTGAACAGTACTTTTGTCAGACAATTTGTATATTGATTGATAGTTGCTTTCCTATTGCAATATCGACATTCTACATGCTGGAAACATGTTTGCTAATCGGAAAACTCTTACAAACGATATAAAGGATGATGCTGGCAAAGCGAGAGGAGACTGGGTAAAAGCCCGAAAAATTCAAGAGTTAATTCGGGTTGTTACAATTTCTATATATTTTGCCAACTTCTCGTCGCCTAAAGACAAATTAATATAATTCGCCGCTTTCGATAGCAAACTGCCGGAAAATATTGCCTAATTTTCATTTTATTGCCAGCTCCCCGTCGTCCTAACTTGATTAACTGCTTCCTTCTATATTCTTTAAGTTTGCTTGCGTGCTCCTATGGATTGTCAAGGAACTTTTTCCACATTTTATTGCCGTTAACCAAAAAGTTTTAATTAATTTCCCCCGACCTGGATGAAAAGAATTTGATCTGTTTTCTAGATGAAGATTTTTGTTTGGTTTTACACCCATTGAAACGAATATTTGCTTTAATTAAGCCGGTTCCTTAAGGAGATATATCACTCTGGAAATCTCGTTATTTAGTTTAGAAAAAGATAAATTTAGCGGAGGATTTCCAACAGCTTCATCATTCTCCGTCTTACCGACTGGAAAATTTTTATTAATGAAATTGGTTCGCTTTTCAGTGGATTCGTTCCGGTAGATGAAAAATATAATGACGAATTGATCGCGATAATAGATGGGACCAACGGAGATGAGCGTTTTTCCAGTTCCGAAATTAAATTTTATGCTAATTAATTAAAATTAATTCATTGGTGAGTCGGGAACGATGATTTTATCCAACTTTAAATTACTTTCAACTGTTCCCTTAGACGAATTTTTTCGGTTTGAGTCCTTTTAAATTGAATCTAAGCTGAGCTTAGACGGGTAGTGTAAAATGTATTAGCTTGTTTCGATTGTACAATTTATTGTTAATATTTGGCTAAATTCTCCCTTATTTAGGAAATTTTCGGTCAAAAATGGATATCTCACATGCGTGCGCTTTAAGCTCAATGTGATGTTTAGGACCTAAAGCCCCCGAATATGCATAAATAAAGTGTTTGAGTCAATAATAAGAAATATATTGAGGGTTAAAAACCGCGACTGCTCGAAATCTGTTAAAATTGGACCGTAAAGGTGGATTATTTTGGATCTGAAGCTTCTAGCGTGTATCTGAATAAGCTCTTTGCATTCTTCGCG